GGTAGCCAAAGCCTAGCATAAAATCTTTGGTAGTCCAAGCCTACTATTAGCAGATATTATCTCTTATTAAAAAAAATGCTTATGTGGGATCAAACAATCCACTCACTTCGGAGTCCAGCGTCCTCGCTGGCACTCGTTCCCCTCTCCAATCAATATGGGATCTCATACTGATAGAAGCATAGACTTAATAAATTCATAAGTTAAGCCAAATCAAGATTATACGTAGCTTGCAACAGACAAACAAAGAACTTACTGGACATAAAAGTATAAAAGCCCACCTTTGATCGAATCGAGGTGGACTGAGCACATGTGAACTTGCACCTTGCATGCCCAAAACCCAATGATGCACGGTTCAGTCGTTTTCTAATCCTATTAAGAAGAAGGGAAGGAATGTCACGAGTGAATCGATGTCAACAAATATAAAACCATCACTAAAAGCCATTTAAATTCCATTCTCAATCTCTAAACTTAATTCATACATTTTCAGCTAACAAACGAAAAGATTCATTAAAATTCATCAAATTACTTGTCGTACTAAAATGCTCGAAAATTCTTTCGAAAAACGGATTAGAGAGTAATTTAAATTACTAATCAAATAATCCGATGATTAGCATGTGATTATTGCATTACTAGATAAAATTATTTATTATAAAGAAAAATATATTTTTATGGAAGAGTTTGTGTTTGTCAATGCCAATGCTTATTAACCACTCCAATTAATTAATATGATTATGACATAAATCACGTATTCAAAGGTGTATAAACCAAGCATTTTTGACCAATTTAAACGCGCCACGTGTTCACTGATTTTTTTTAGTAATGTGGTATATGACCACACCAAATCTTTGCCCGGGTATTGCACGCAATTGAAACGGCGCCGTTCGATTTTGCCACGTGTTGTGCTTCGTGTTTATGATAGTGGAATTCCGACTGCTTCTTATAATCTAACAAACTTAACCGCCTACCAAATTCGCTACGTCTGCGCCACGTCAACGTCCTCGTCATAGACCAAAAACTGACCTTTTATTATTTTATTTTTGTCAAAAATATAAATAAATAATTTATAGATTAAATTGATTCATACATATTTAAACTTAATTAACCAAATTTGTTAATTAACCAAATGATAAGGTTAAATTGGTAATTTGAATATATTAATTTTTTTAATGTGTTTTTATAATTTATTTAGATTATATATATGAGACGACGTGGAAAACTTATCCAAAGTAATTGGAATTATAATGAAAATTTACATTGAAGAAAAAACCAAATAAAAAGTTTAAAATAGTAATTTTCAAATATTAAATTTGAATTATTATGCATGTTTTCCAAGTGTGGTTTTTCCACGTATTTGTTGGGATATTACATAGTCGGTGTTTTTTTTCCTAGTAAACCTCTTCAGTGGACTTTTACTTTTTTGACCTTCAAATATTCTTATTCCCGCAAAATAATTATCCGTTCACACCTCTAATTCAATATTTTTTAAATAAATACATTTTATTTTATTTTTTTAAAAATAATACTTTTCTCATCTGACCTCCAGACTCGAAAGAATAGTATAAAGAGGAAGGACATATGTAGCTCGATAGCCTCAACAAGGTCAAAAAAAAGCTGCAACATGGTGAGGAAATGTCTCTCGATCTTTATTCCCCCAATCGTGGAACCCTAATTACCATTCCTTTTATTCTAATCATACATTCAAAATCCATGATAGCATTATCCGAAACATTACGACCAGAAATAAAGACACTTTTATTATTTATTTTAATAAAATATTCAACAACGAATCAAATTTTAGATTATACCGATCAGATTGATGTCGGATCGACATGTTCTAAATATGTTAATAAAATAATAGTCATAATTTCATAATTTTTTTAATAAGATATTTATTGATTTATTTATTTATGTTTTATTAATTTTCGAAAGAGTCAAACTTGAAAGACGAGTTGATTAAATAATGAGCTACGTGTGGCATTGGCCACGACACGTGTAACGAAACAAATCCGTCGGGGAAACGAGGGCCACGTGATCAAAGTTACGACACGAAGGATCGAACGGCTTGAGAAGTTTGGGAGGGAATTATCTAGTGCGATGCGTCGCAGTCAATAATCGGTTCGTTTCAATTCCACAAGGTCAAGAGCAGTCGCGTGATTCAAAATCGGATTGCGCTTTTCCCACCCAACTTCCATCTTCCCTCCCATCTTACATCTCATACTCGTATTCTCTCTTTCTCTCTCTAGATTCATCGTTATATAAAGCCGTCGCCAGGTAGTGAGAGGTTCAGGTATAGATTATTCGGAACGCGGCTTTGATTTAGGTTTTTCTCTTGGAGATGGAGGATTGGAAGGGGAACAATCGCGAGAACAGAGAGGCGATGGAGAAGATTGGAACTCTGTTTCCTGTTCATAGTCAGGTGAGGAAGATCAAAGAGGAATCGGAAACGATCATCGACTGGGGACCGGGACAGCCAGAGATCAGACCTCTAGCGGCCGCCTTCCGAGACATGAATCGGCCGATCTCTCGCTCGCCGCTCGGAATCTCCGGCCGGCCGATTTCGGTGGGGGATTCGTAGAGATTACTCGTCGTTAGCGGCTTATTTCTGCGAGCAGATGAAGACGAAGACGGAGAAGGTATCGATTCTTCTCTGTTTTCGTTTCTCTTCCCCTTTCTGTTACTGCCGATTGAGATAGCCCTAGACTAGTCATGATCTTCTTCTTCTTCTGTAAATATTTCGTTTTATTTAATAGATAAAATTTTGGATTCTGTATATATATTTATTTATTTTCTCATGAAAATATTGGTCCGAGGATCCAACGCCTCCCTGTTGAATGTACTAGCTAATTTTGGGAATGATCATAAGTTTATAATCAAGGAATACTCATTCAGAAATGATCATAAATTTATAATCAAGAAATATTCGAGCCATTTTGAAGAAATTCAAAATAAAGTCACAAGAAATTATGTTTAAAGTGTACAATATCGTACCCCGATTTGAATTCAATATATGAATAAAATGAATTTCTAATATGATTTAATGGTTTTTAAAACAATTTATTTTGCCCAAAAATCAAGTGGATGTAATTTACGCCGGCCTGTTTTAAAAACGTCCTATTATTTCAAAAAATAAAATTGAAAATTTGGAGATACAATTTAGACTTATTACGTAGTGGTCCCTCAAGTCTTGCCTAATTTGTTAATTAATTTGTTTGGAAGTACCGTCTGGCAATTTATTTACTACGCATATAATAAAAATATCAATTACATCTTCTGTGTGGAAATTTAAAAAAAAAATGATGGGTATATAATTATTATTTGTTATGTAAGGCTATTATTGTTATTATTTATTTAAAATCACATAATTTTCTTAAATTTTTTAATAGATTAAAATAAAGTTTTACTAGTTTTGAAGTAGTTGGAATTGATATCCGGTAAAGTTGTGTACGAACGTTTGCCATAAGAGCTTTAATTGTTGACAAATCGAGTAGATTTTTCGATCGATCTCATATAAATAAAAGATAACACGTGTCTCAAGCTTTGATGTTAATAATAAGAGTTTTAATCGTTGATGAATCGAGTAAATTTTTCGATTGATCTTGTACAAATGAAAGATAACACGTGATTCCACTAATCATACGAGCGTTGATAAATCGAGCATAAGTAACTAATTTAATCATAATTTAGTAAATTAACCATTGATTTGGGGGGGGGGGGGGGTTTGTGG